TGGTCTGGGATATACCCCGACCCTAGGCTGAGACCCATCTGGGACACTACCTAGAACTAACACTAAGAAACACTATGGCTATGTCTTCACTGGCAGGTTATTGCGCAAGAAGGGCCATTCTTCCACAGGGCGTCCACACTGCCCACTCGCTCTTGCGCAAGATTTACAGGAAAGCATAGTAAGAGAGGGCTTCTTGCGCAAGAGCTATGCTCTTTTCTAACAGGTGTAAGTCCTCTTGAGCAAGAGCTCTTGCGCAAAAAAGCCCTATGGCTAAAATGGCCATCAGAACTTTCTTGCGCAAGAGAGCGTCCACACTGCCACGGATGCTCTTACGCAAAAGCACATGTGGCACATGGCAGTGTGGACGTGTTCTTGTGCAAGAGTTTGTGCACAAGAACCCTTGCGCAAGATGTTCTTGTGCAAGAAGCCGCCAGTGTAGACACAGCCTATGAGAGAATTGTGTACAGGAAGACAGGAAAAGAAGCTGTCTGGAGCACAGCAATTCCAATGCTCTGTCACTGGTGGCAAGGCAAGGAGAGCACGCAGCACCCTTACACTGGCCATGTGCCTAGGTCTCCAGGGGTCGCTAGGGCTGCTCCTGACACACCTATCGTGGAATGGATAGGAGCAAGCACTCGAGGAAGAGCAGTACAGGATGAGTACATGATTTTAGGAAGGGCTTTGACAGTTTCTAAGATGGAAATCATAAGTGGTGGGTATAATATGCCAGGAGGGGTTAAGACTCCCCTGGTGCAGCCACCTTGGCTATAGTGGACCCCACTTGCACACTTCTTGTGCTGAACTAAAAAGTCCAAATAAATCTGTGACTAATAAGCCACATGTGCCTATCACCCTATGATCACTGTGGCTGTAGACCGTATGCCTTTCATCAGTCCTTCATATGCTTGTGTCTTATCAGATCAGTCACTCTTTAGAGCAGATTCTGAGTCTCTTAAGTATTTGGAAAATGCTGAACATGCCAGGGGCATTACCACAATCTGAAGGAAAAACCAAACAGAAAATCGACATTAATACAATATTCCCAGACCCAAAGAAATCTATTTTAGGGTGACATTAGGGTGGAGAGTACATGGGAGTAATTTACGGGTAAAACACATTACAGGGATGTTGTAATTTTCCCAAAATCAAGCATTACAAACCCAGGAAATTCAGTTACATGTACACTCACAGAGGAGTTTTTAAACTAAGGCCTGGAGAAAAGCCAACAGGTGAGGAGGAACACACAATTCAGACAGACCTCCCTTAGGGGAGGAGTTATTGAAAGGGTTTCTCTATCAATACCCTAGTAAGAGAAGAGATCAGAAGCTGATAAAGTATAGTAGGAAGAGAAGCAAAACAGTCAAACGAAAACAAAATTCCACTGAATTACACATGATGGCAGACAATTAAATACTGATGGATTTCTATATAAAATGTAAGAAGCCTAAATAACAAGATGGGTGAACTCAAATGACTGGCATTAATTGAGCATATTGATATAACAGGTATCACAAAAACCTGGTGGATTGACGAGAATCAATGAGACATGGTACTACTAGAATACAAAGCATAGGAATGACAGAGTTGGTTGTGCTGGTGTGGGAGTGTCATTATACATGAAAGAAACAGAGTCAAATAGAGTAAAAATCTGAAATAAGGAGAGAGTGAGGGAGTTGGGTCTGTTTAGTCTGCAGAAGAGAAGAGTGAGGAGGGATTTGAGAGCAGCCTTCAACTTCCTGAAGGGAGGTTCCAAAGAGGATGGAAAAAGGCTGTTCTCAGTAGTGATGGACGGCAGAACAAGGAGCAATGGTCTCAAGTTACACTGGGGGAGGTCTAGGTTGGATATTAGGAAAAACTATTTCACTAGGAGGGTGGTGAAGCACTGGAATGGGTTACCCATGGAGATGTTGCAATCTCCATCCCTAGAGGGCTGTGTCTAAACTGGCAAGTTTTTCCGCAAAATCATATGATTTTGTGGAAAAACTTGCCAGCTATCTACACTGGCCATTTGAATTTCCGCAAGAATTGCCGCAAGATCGTCAGTGTTTTTGCGGAAATACTGTGCTGCTCCCGTTCGGGCAAAAGCCCTCTTGCGCAAGAGGGCCAGTGTAAACAGCACAGAACTGTTTTCTGCAAAAAAGCCCCGATTGCGAAAATGGCGATCGGAGCTTTTTTGCGGAAAACCGCGTCTAGATTGGCCACAGACGCTTTTCCGCAAAAAGTGCTTTTGCAGAAAAGCATCCTCCCAATCTAGACGTGCTTTCCTGAAAATGCTTTTAACGGAAAAGTTTTCCGTTAAAAGCATTTTCGGAAAATCATGCCAGTGTAGACGTAGCTGAGATGTTTAAGTCTTGGCTTGACAAAGCCCTGGCTGGGTTGATTTAATTGGTATTGGTTCTGATTTGGGCAGGGGGCTGGACTTGATGACCTCTTCCAGATCTATGATTCTAAATAGTACAACCGAATCTCTATGGATAGAAATTGCATGTTTGAACACCAGGGCTATGTCTACACTCCCTGCTTCTTGCGCAAGTAATATGCAAATGAGGCTAAGCGTGGAATATCGCTGAGCCTCATTTGCATACCTAATGAGCCACCATTTTTTTCAGAAGAGGCTCTTGCGCAAGAAGGAGTGTCTACACTGCCCCTTCTTGCACAATGCCGTTCTTCCTCTCAAGTAATAGATGTAACAGCATGGCGCAAGAGTGGCTCATTAGGTATGCAAATGAGGCTCAGCGATATTCCACGCTTAGCCTCATTTGCATATTACTTGCGCAAGAAGCCGCAAGTGTAGACATAGGCCAGCAGTATAGCATCAGGAATATACTACTGACCACTTGACCAGGATGATGAAATGCTCAGATGAGAGAGGCTACAAAACCAGAAAACCCAATCGTAATGGGGGATTTCAACTATCCCTATATTGACTTGGAACATGTCACCTAAGGCTAGAATGCAGAAATAACATTTCTATACACTATTATGACTGATTCTTGGAGCAGCGAGTCCTGATACATACAAGGGGAAAGGTAATTCTTAATGTAGTTGTAAGTGGAACATAGGATCTTGTTCTGAATTGCTGAATATAGCTGAATTGCTCAGTAATAGCAAGCATAACATAATTAAATTTAACACTTTTGTAGGGGGAAATACCAAAGAAACCCAGAAATCTCAGATATTAAATTGTAAAACTACTAACCGTAGGATGTAGCCTGTCACTTAAATTAGTTTCAGGACCAGATGACTGGCAAATATCTAATGCAACACTGATTTTTAAGCATCACTTCAGTAACAGGTACAGTACTTTGGTTTAAATTATACAAAAGAACAGAATTATTGAATACATAGATGAAAACGATTAATTGGAAAACAGTCAACACAGCTTTTCTTCTTCTAGGTGCATGCACAATTTGCCTGAGGTGGCTGGTAACCTGGATTCATCACCAAATTTGGTCAGGGGGTTGGATCATTGGCTTCTTTGGCCCGGGCACTGATGAGGACAGTAATGGCAACACTGATCCCTGGTCCCCAACACAGCTTTGGTAAAGGGAAATCCTGCCTCACTAATCAATTAGGACTCTTTGAGATCAACAAACATGTAGACAAGGGTGATCCAGTTCCAGGAGATAGAGTGCACTTAGATTTGCAGGATTCGCTCAGTGCTGCAAGGCCTGTGTGCAGGCATGGGACCCTGCAATTAGTGCCTGGCCAAATGGGCTGGAGAGGGGCAGCAAGGAGTCTGGGGGGGGCAAACACCAGGAAGTTCAGTTCTGTACATTTCGGGATGGGTAACTTCCACTAAGACTAAGGCGCCACTCTGGGAGGTACTGACTATCCTTGGGGGTGAGCCTGGGGAGTTGTTCCAGGCAGCAGTTGGTTTCCAAAGCGCTAAAGCCCTGGGAGTGGCACAGGCCCTTAGCTCCACACAGGCGGAAGAGGGGAGCAGCAAAGCCGGTCCCTTCAGCCTCTGAAAACAGAAAGCACCTGTCCTGGGTCCCCTCCAGCCTTCACCCCCTTCCATCTCCAGTGAGCGACGCCAGGCACAGAGCTTGGAGCCTCGGGACCCCTCCGCCCAGCACTCCGGACCGGCCAGCTCTAGCGCCAGCGCCAGAGCCAGAACCGGGTCTGGGCCTTGCCCTCGCCCTCGCCCAGAGCCTGCGAGTCCTGCAGCCCCGCCAGGTGAGCCAGGGCAGCGGGGCCAGCTCGCACGTGGTGAGCCCCG